GGTCCCCCAGGGGGCCCCTTGGTACTGCGAGTGAAGGAAAGTGGGGAAAGTGAAGAAGAAAAAGAGACGCAGCTGGAGCCAGAATTTGCTGCTGCAGAAACAGCAACAGCAGCAACAGCAGCAAGGCCTTTGTCCCCCTGGGGGCACCCCGAGGGGGCGGTTGGGAGCGCTGCTGCTGCTGCTGCTGCTGCTGCTGCGGATATGAAGGAAATGAAGGGGAAAAGAATTAAATTAAAAGAAAAAAGGTTTAAAAAGGATTCCAAAAGATTTCGAGAAATGCACAAGAGACGCCAACTCATGGTCAGACACATAATTGTTTCCTTTTTTTAATTTTTCAGTTTAAATTTTTTGAATCTTTTTTGGATCTTTTCGAATCTTTTTGAATCTTTTTTTGGGCCTTTTTTCTTTATTTGTTTCGCTTTTTTTATTCTCCTTTTTGCCTTTTTTCCCCTTCTTTTGATTCCCTTGTCTTTTATTTCTTCTTCTTTTGTCTTTTTTTGTGTCTTTTTTATTTCTCTAATTTTCTCCTTTTTTCGTTTTTAATTATCTCTTTTTTTGTTTTTAATTGTCTCCTTTTTCGTCTTTAATTGTCTCCTTTTTTGTCTTTAATTGTCTCTTTAATTGTCCCTTCTTTCCTCTTTATTTGTCTCTTTTTTCCTCTCAAAATGTCCCTTTTTGTCTCTTTAAATATCCTTTTTTGTTTCTTTTTTGTTTCTTTTTATGTTTCTTTTTCTTTTCTTTTTTGTGTCTTTTTTTATCATTTTAGATGTCCTTTTAGTTGTCCCATTTTATCGTTTTTCGTTTCCTCAGTTGTCTCTTTATTTCCCACTTTAAATTAATTTCATTTTAATTTTATTTTTATTTTTTTTTAATTTGTACTTTTTCTGTTTTGTTTCTAAATTGTTCATTTCCTTTTTTTTCCATTTCGTTTATTTACACTTCTATTCGTTATTTAATTCATATTATATATTTTATTTATTTTATTAATTAATTTAATTTAATTTAATTTAATTCAATTAATTTAATTAATTCCAATTCAATTAATTTCGCATTTTCTTGGCGGATTTTTTTCGTTTTTTCCGCGAAGAGAAACTTGCGAAACAAACAACCAACCGATTATTTATTATTTATTTATTTATTATTTATTTATTTATTTTATTTATTTATTTATTCATTTATTTATTTATTTTTATTTTTTTAATTTCAGAAGTGGTTTATTATCGCGGCAATTTGGTCCGCCGATTTGGCCCTCGGCGTCGTCAGGGGCGGCAAAGGCTTCCCCCTGCAGCTGGTGAATCTTTTTTTGTTTTTATTTTTTATTTTTATTTCTTTTTATTTGTTTCTTTATTTCTTTACTTATTCATTCACTTGTTTTATTTATTTGTTTCTTCTTTTATTCCTTTATTTATCATTCTTCTTTTTCCCCTTTTTTTGGCCCTCTTTTTGGCCTTTTTGGCCTTTTTTGGGCATTTTTGTTTTTGTTCTTTTTTGCTTCCTTTTTTCTTTTCTCTTTTTTTTCTTTTCTCTTTTTTTCTTTTATATATATCTTTTCTCCCTCCTTTCTTCCCAATTTGTTGTCTTTTTCTTCTTTTTTCCCTTTTCTTGGTTTTTTTTGGCCTTTTCGATCTTGCTGCTGCTTGCTGCAGCAGCAAAGGGTGCGCATGCTGTCGACGTGCTTCTGCTGCTGCTGCTGCTGCTGCTGCTGCTGTTTCAGGTTCCTTACTGCGGCAGCAGCTACTGGGTTTTGTTTTTCGTGTCTTCGCTGCTGCTGCTGCTGTTCTCGCTGGGCCAAGGCCTGAATCTCTACCGACTGCAGCGCAGCAGAGACGCAGCAGCAGCAGCAGCAGCAGCAGCAGCAGCAGCAGCACCGGGAGACCTGCACTATGATAAGAAAACCATTCTTTGTTTCTTTACGCAGACAATTCTCGCGGGGCTTGTTTGTAGGAAAATAAATTAAATAAATTTAATAAAATAAATAAATTAATTTAATTTAAATTAATTAAAATGAATTGAAACAATTAAATCTTTTATTTGTGTCTCCAATTGCTTTATTTGATCAATTCATTTTCCTCTTTATATGCAGACGCAACGCTGGCTCTTACATGTGCCGCTTCATGTTTCTGCTGCTGCAGCTTCTGCTGCTGCTGCTGCTGCTGCTTTTCCTTGTTTGCTGTTGCTGTTTGTGCCGCTGCTGCATATGTGCTGCTGCTGCTGCTATTTCTGCTTTGCCTGCATCCAAGTGCATCGCTGTCGCATACCTGCTGCTGCTGCTGCCTGGTGCTGCTGCTGCTACTTCCGTGCTGCTGCTGCTACTGCTGCTGCGACTTCTGCTGCACTTCTGATGCTGCTGCAGACCCTGCGGCTGCTGCTGCACTTGTGCTACTGCCACTTTATCTCTGTCGCCAGTGCTACCGCTCGCGCTGCTGCTGCATTTGCGCTGCTGCTGCTGCTGCTGCTGCTGCTGCTGCAGCTGGGACTGTGGGCATCGGCAGCTCTTTGGTTCTGGGGCCTTTGATGCTGACGCGGGGAATGCTGCCGAGTGTATGTACAGCAGTTAACACGCTGCTGGTTTTGTGCAGCAGCAGCTCCGCAGCTGTCAGGTGTATCCTCACCTCTGCTGCTCCTTGGGATGCTGCTGCTGCTCTTTTCGCTCTTTGCTTCGCATGCGGCCTCCTCGGGAAGTCCCTTGTCGATAAAGTCGTCAGTTCCTGCTGCTGCTGCTGCTTGTGCTGCTGCTGCTGCTGCCTGTGCTGCTGCTGCTGCTGCTTGTGCTGCTGCTGCTGCGGCTTGTGCTGCTGATGCTGCTGCTTGTGCTGCTGATGCTGCTGCTGCTGCTGGCTAGGAAAGTGTCTTGTGAATACACGGGCTGGTGTTGCCTTTTTGCTGCTGCGGTGGCTGGTGCCGCTGCTTTTTCTGCTGCCGTTGCTGCTGATGCTGCTAGTGCTGCTGCTGTTGCTGCTGCTGCTAGACCTGCTGTTGCTGCTGCTGAAGCGACTAGCTTTGCTACTGCTGTTGTTGTTGATATTCCTGCGGCTGCGTCAATTAAGGCTGCTGCTGCTGCTGCTGCTGCTGCTGCTGGTTGAGCGGACTGCTGCGTGCATGCGGTGCTTGGGGTGTACGTACAGGTTAGCAAATACAAAGCTGACCATTTAGTGGTTTTGTTTCTTATTATAATTATCTTCGGTTCCATGGGCTGTATGGTTGGTAAGGCTCGCGCAGCAGCAGCAGCAGCAGCAGCAGCAGCAGCAGCAGCAGCAGAAGCAGCAGCAACAGGAGCAGCGGCAGTAGTTTGCATTTCACTTCGTCCTGTGGTTGGGAGACCTTTGGCCCTTTTCCTTGCATTGTACCTTCTTTTCAGTTTCATTTTTTTCCTTTTAATTCATTTTTGTCCTTTTTAATTATTTTATTTTTTCCTTTTTTCTCATTTTGCTTCTGCTGCAGCTGCCGGCATCATCGGCATTATTCGCAACGAAGGGCAGCACTTTAGGGGCCCCTGCAGCTAGCTCCGATTTGCTGCAGCAGAGGCCCACGCTCATGCGGCAGCAGCAGCAGCAGCAGCAGCAGTAGCAGCAGCAGTAGCAGCGCTAGCAGCAGCAGCAGTCGCTGCAGGACAGTAGCAGTGGCATTATCTGCGGCAACGGCATTGGCAGAAGCAGCAGCAGCAGCATTATTAGCTGGAGCAGCGGTAGCGGCACCAGCAGCAGCAGCAACAACAGCCGCTGCTGCTGCTGCTGCTGCTGCAGTTCCTGCTGTCGCTGCTGCTGCCCTCGCGCCAGCCTTAGCCGAGTTTGTGCGCACGGAAGAGTCTGAGGGTTTCAAAACCCTCAAGATATAAACCCTAAACCCTAAATGGGAAGCACAGCGTTAAAAGCAGAACAGCAGCAGCAGCAGCAGCAGCAGCAGCAGGTGGGGAAGCGGCAGGTGCAGAGGTTGCTGCGTCTCTTACAGCGTTGCTTTGTGAGTTTTTTATCCTTAAGGACAGGAGCAGCAGCAGCAGCTAGCTGGCTCATCTCAACCCCAATCCAAGTTCTTAAACCCTAAACCCTAAACCCTAGGCCCCAGCTACCTGGGGTGGCTGCGTAGTGGCAGCCTAGGGCAAACTGCAGCAGCAGCGGCAGCAGCAGCACAGCAGCAGCAGCGCAGCGAAGTAAGCAGCAGCAGACGGGGACAGCAGCAGAATCAAGAGAAACAAACGAAGACAGGGATCCATTGACTGCTGCAGCAAACATTCAAAAGAAATGCATTTAATCTAATTAGAAGCTCCAGGGGCCCCCAGGGTCCCCCAGGGGCCCCCGGGTGCCCGCGAGGCCTTGCTAGGGGCCCCTCCAAGGCCCAGCCAGGGCCCCCAGAGGGTCTAGCTAGGGGACCCACTGGGTCTAGCCAGGGGCCCCCAGAGGGTCTAACCAGGGGCCCCCACAGGGTCTAGCTAGGGGTCCCCACCGGGTCTAGCTAGGGGCCACCAGGAAATCTAGCTAGGGGCCCCCAGGGGGCCTAGGGTACACTATAGGTGAGGCCCAGGGGCCCCCCGTGGCTAGTGAGGGGCCCCCGGTAGACCTACAGGACCCTCTTGGGGGTCTAGGGGCCCCTAGAGGCCCCTCTTAGGGGCCTGGGGGGCCCTAAAGGACCCTTTTGGGGATCTGGGGCCCCCTACAAGACCCTTTTGGAGGCCTAGGGGCCCCCTGGAGGCGCAGCTGTGGGCCCCCTGAGGGCCCAGGGGCCCCTTAGGGGTTCGGAAGTCCCCGAAAGCCGAGGGGCCCCGGAAAGTTAGGGGCCCACTGGGGGCCCCTCTTGGGGGCCCCACGGGGGGGGCCCCATTTGGGGGCCCCACGGGGGCCCCAGTAGGGGCTCCAGTGCCCCAGAGGGTCACTTGTCTGCGACCGAGCCTTTTCGCGCCTTTGCATAAATGCAGATGTTTATTTTTATATGAATTATGTAGTTCACAAGTGGAAAGAAACGATATAAATGTATAAATGACTTTCCTTCATAATTAGATTCAAAAAAAGATGAAAAAAACGATCCAAATAGCCTTTTAAATGACCTAATTTGGGGGCCCCGCACTCGCCTGCAAATCTGCATGCAGCGAAAACTGCGAAAAGTGGAAAAGTTTATTTAAAAGAACTACAACTAAAATAAAACAGTTTAATTTAATGAACGTTGTCCATTTTTAGACTTTACGCCACAAAAAGTAATTCTTTTGGAGCTATTTTCCATTTTTCGCGCTTCTAAAAATGCAAACATGAGCTGTACGTACACCGCAATGAGGTGTACGTACACCATGCGGTGTAGGTACACCCCAAGTGGCATTTAATTTTCCTTCAAATTCTTTCAATATATTTTTATTCTCGTCTTTACGCATGCATTAAATGATTTATTTTTAATTATTTATTATATATTTATGCTTTTAGTAAATGTGTGAGAAATAAAGCATTATTATATTGTAAATATACAGTTTAATAAACAAATAAGACTCCACAAATATATTTGTTACATTTTTAGTAGATAAAATTAAAATGTATTATAAACATAATATAATTATTATATATAAGCAAAATAAATAATTAACAAATAAAACAATTAGAATATACTAATAAATATGTTTAAAGTATATTATTATAAAAGTACAAGTAATAAATGGATATCGAACATTCTGAAAATATGCTTCTGAATATATTTGTACTATTAAATATAAATACACAATCAATATATACTAAAACTATTAAAAATAAAATTAATTAAATAAAGATCTAATAAATATAAAACAAATGAAAGCTCGAATTTTCATATTTCTTTTTGAATTTCCAAGAAGTCAAAAAAGACAAATTCAAATTAAACAATAAAATAAATTGAATTGTTCAATTTAATTTAATTTACTTAATTCATTTCAATTAATTTAATTAATTTAATTAATTAATTAATTTTATCTATTCATTTATTTATTTGAAATGGGGGGCACCCCGTGGCCTTGGCCGCACTTGGCAGGAGTTATTTTTAAAAATTTGATTTAAATAGAAATAAAAATAGACTATTTTCTTTCATTTTTAATTTCTTTTTTATTTTTAATTTAATCAAATTCTCTATCATGCATGCATGCATTACCCTATATTTAAAGTAGGGTTTGTTTTATAGGGGCACCTGGTACCCCTTATCTTCTAAACCCTCTAAACCATAAACCCTAAACCCTTAACCCTAAACCCTAAACACCAAACCCCAAGGAGCCTTTCACGCTAAACCCTGAGGCCTAAGCCCTAAACTCTAAACCCTAGACCCTAAACCCTAGAAGTCGGGTACACACGCCTCATGTCTTGTGTGTGCAGATCAATTTTTTGTTTTTATTTTGCATTTGGTGTCTAAGGGAGCGTTGCTGCTGCTGCTGTTGCTGCTGTTGCTGCTGCTGCCTCGATGCTGCTGCTTCGATTCCTGTGCTGTTGCAGATGCCGTGTCTGCTGCTGCTGCTGCTGCTGCTTGCTGCTGGTTTTTTTCCTAAGGCCTGGCAGATCATTAAATTATTCAAAATGTTTCTATTTAAAACAGCAGCAGGAGAAGAAGCAAAGCTCGCAGCAGCAGCAGCAGCCCTCCAGCGGCAGCCGCAGCAGCAGCAGCAGCAGCAGCAGCGGGAGTGGACCAGGCCTCATTTCACGCTGCAGGCGTCTTTTTCTTTTGTTTCAAATTTAATTAAAAATTGAAATGAATTAATTTTCAAAAAATAAAAGAAACGGAAAAAATTGGAGTGTATAAACACCGAAAGACAAAAAGCTTCACCGGACCATTGGGCGGCACCGCTCGCGGTGTCTCGCGAGCTGGGGCTGCTGCTGGTGCTGCTGCTGCTGTTGCTGCTGCTTTTGCTGCTGCTCCCTTTAAAAGCCGTTTAAATTGTTTGTCAAGCTGCAGTTAATTGCTTTTTATTCTTTTTAGAAGCGCCAGTTAGTTCTTTTTGTCCTCTTTTGCCATTTAATACCTTTTTGGAATCTCGCTGAAGGCACTTTTCGGTTTTTTTGGAAAACTGGAAAAAATCGAAACTCGCTGGGACTCCCAGGTGTAAGTACACCTCAGCGGCAGCAGCAATGAAGCGCAGCAGCGGGATCCGCGGGGCAAGGGCTGCCTCTTTGCTGCTGTGCTGCTGCTGCTGCTGCTTCTGGGGGGCCCCCCAGCTGACTGGGGGGGCCCCCCTGGGCTTCTACCCGTATCCTGAGGGCCCCACGACCGGGCCCCTGGGGGGCCTGGGGGCCCTGGGCCCCTTTGAGTCTTTGCGAGCAGCAGCAAGCGAGTCTGCTGCTGCTGAGAGCGAGTACTACTACTCGGAAGCAGCAGCAGCAGCAGCAGCAGCAGAGGCGGAGGGCCCCCGCAGCAGCGCAGCAGCCCCCGCCGACAGCAGCAGCAGCAAGGAGGCCCTGGAGCAGATGGTGAAGGCAGTGCCGCTGCGGGGCCTGAAGACTTTGCTGCTGGGTGTGGGGCTGGGTTTGCTGCTGCTGCTGGTGAGCAGCAGCAGCAGCAAAGACCCGCGGACCGGCGAAGAGCTGCTGCTGCAGGAGAAGCTGGCCGAACTCAACAGAGTGGCCAATGGGGCCCTCCCCCCGCTGCTGCGGCTCGACTGGGCAGCAGCAATATCGCTTTTATCTGTCTTTTTTGCTGCTGCAGGAGCCCTCGAGTTGCTGCTGAGTCTGTACAGGAAGCAGCTAGTAAGGAGGCGGGGGGCCCCCCTGGGGCCCCTCCCGCTGCGGGGCTTTTTGCTGCTGGGTTTGGCGCTGCTGGTGGCCCTCAGGGGCCCCTCTGCTGCAGCAGCAGATTCGCTGCAGCAGCGCAACAGGGACGCCAACACTGCTGCTGCCGTTGCTCTTGCTGCTGCTGCTGTTGGCCTCATGCAGTTCCTCTCCAGCCTGCAGCAGCAGCGCGCAGCAGCCGCCAAGCCAGCTGCTGCTGCAGCAGCGTCCAGAGCAGCCGCAGCAGCAGCACTAGCAGCAGCAGCGCCTGCAGCACCAGGAGCAGCAGCAGCAGCAGCAGCAGATCTGCCCCAGGCCCCGGACTTCCCGCTGAGGCCGCCCAAGTACTTCTAGCTGCTGCCTCTGGGCCTCTCAGCAGCAAAAGGCACTTCAAATTAATTAAAGAATTAAACTTTTAAAAATTAAAACTTAAAAACTCTTTTAGATTGTTCATCTCACACTAACCAAGTTCTGGGCTTAAATAGGTGCAAACAGACAATAAAGGGGCCCCAGGGATAAAGATGGAGAGGGGCCTCTTAGGGGCCCCTTGGGGGCCCCTTGGGGGCCCCTTGGGGGCGCCTTGGGGGGCCCCTCGGGGGGGCCCTTGGGGGTCACTTGGAGGGCCCAGGGGCCCCACTAGAAACATGCTGCGGGATTTTGGGGGCCCCCAGGGGTCTCAAGGGTTTTGAGAGTTTCTTTTGAGGGTTTGGGGGCCCCTAGAGGGGCCCCAGAACCCTTTCAGGGGGCCCCTATGGGGCCTCAAAAAGGGTACCCTGAGGAGGGGCCCCAAGGGAGTTAAGGGAGTTTTAAAGAGGCCTGAAGGGGGCCCCTGGGGCGGCTCCCTAGAGGCGCCCCAGGGGGCCCCCTTGGGGGCTTTAAGGGGCACCTGGGGCCCCCCTGTGGGGGGCCCCCAAGGGCCCCTAGAGGGGAGCCCCATGGGGGCCCTCAAGGGCCCCTAAAGGGGGCCCCCATCGGGGCCCCCAGGGGGCCCCACAGTGGGTTTTTTGGGTTTTTCTAGGGCACAGTTTTGGGGGTTTGCGCCTTTTAAATAAGCAGAAAAGTTTTATTCTCTGGCGGTGAAACTCGTGTGTATGTACAATTGAACCCAGTGGCCAAAATCTCCAGTTTTCTCTTTTTTGTGCTTTTGCTCCCAACTTTGGACTTTTTAATTTTCTTTTCCCATCTTTTTGTTTTAGTTGCAAGGTTCTGTTCGTTTAGGTCACAAAAGTCCAGAAACTTGGCTAAAATTCCATTAATTTGCTTCCAAATTCATTAAATTCATCTTCTAGTTAACTGGCCAAGAGAACGCAGCCATTAGCCCCAGTCTAGCCTTTTAAGAAGTGCATTTTCAATTTAATGAAATAGTTTTGTAACAATTTTATTTAGTGAAATGCTTTGCATTTTTATATTTTGTTTTCTTCGCTATGGGGTGTATGTACACTCCAACTTCGCTGTGTTGCAAATGAACCACGTGTTCAAATTGGGGTGTATGTACACCCCAATTCCACGCGTCTTTTGCCCTGAGGTGTATGTACACTCCAACTTATATATTCATATGCAGCAAATGGGAGTGTACATACACCTGTTTGAGGTGTATGTACACTCCAATTTATATATTTATATGCAGCATATGGACCATTTGCTCCATTTGAGGTGTACGTACACTCCAATTTGTATATTTATATGCAGAAAATGAACCATTTGCTCCATTTGAGGTGTATGTACACCTCAATGCGGGACACCTCATGTGCAGCAATTGCACTATTTGGGGTGTACGTACACTCCAACATTTTACATATTTATGCTGCAAAGGAACTATTTATTTGAGGTGTAGGTACACTCCAGATTCCGGCGTCCATGCTCAGACACACAGAATGTGCAAAATCACTTTTGATATTTTTTGATTTTGGATTTGTTTTGATTTAAAACTTTAAAAAACTTTTAATAATTTTATTCATTTATTTTAAAGGTGAAAAGACTTTTGAGTCCCCTGTGTGCCCTTTGCAGCACTTTCCGTCTTGGGCGCTCATCCGCTGCTCTCTGCTGCTGCTGCTGCTGCTATTTGTGCTGCTGCTGCTGCTATTTGTGTTGCTGCTGCTGCCGCTGCTGCCTTGCGAGATGAGAGCAGCAACCGAGTGCTGCTGCTGATACACTGCAGCACTTAGCTGCTCGTCACAATTATTTGAATTTATTTTTTTAATCATTCGATTATTTAATTATTTATCTATTTATTTGAAAAGATAATCTAAAATAAACACCTAAAAATGAGCTACAAAGTCACAAAAATGGCACTTTTCTTTTTTCTTCTTATTTACTTTTTTGTTCCAGAGACGTGCAGCTCCTCGCTGCGGTGTACGTACACCGCAGCAGCCTTGCGCTCTGACAAAGACAAGCTTTCCTGCTGCTGCTGCTGCAGCTGTTGCAGCTGCAGCAGTTGCTGCTGCTGCTGCAACAGCTACAGCAGCTGCTGCAGCAAACTGCAGATGCTGCTGGTGTTACTACAGCTACAGCTGCTGCCACTGCTGCCACAGCTGCTTCTCTAGCTGCTGCTGCTGCGGTCCAGGTGCTGCTGCTGCTGCTGCTGCTGCTGCTGCTGCTGTGAAGCGAGTATTTCGTTCCCTCCGCTGCTACTCACGCCTACGAATGGCAATTTAAGAATCAATTAAATAATTAAATTAATCAATTTAATTGATTTAATTAAATTATTTAATTAATTTAATTAATTTAATTATATTTTTGTGGGCTGGTAATTGTTGGCCCGCAGCCGCTCCAAAGTCTCTTTAGCCTCCAGCGCATCTCTCCGCTGCTGCGCCTTTGTGGGGTTGTAGTACAGCACCACCAGGTACCTGCAGCAGCAGCAGCAGCAGCAGATGTAGCAGCAGCAGCAGCAGGTGTAGCAGCAGCAGCAAGTGTAGCAGCAGCAGGTGTCACAGCAAGGTAGCAGCAGTAGTGGCAAGAGCAGCAGCAGTAGTAGTAGCGCAGCAGCAGCAGCAGCAGTAAGTAGCGCAGTGGCAGCAGCAGCAGCAAAAGTAAGTGGCCTAGTGGCAGCAGCAGCAGCAGCAACACGGCAGCCAGGAGGCGACAAGGAGCAGCACATGGGCAGCAGCAGGAAGCCAACCAAATTGCCACCAGCAGCAGCTAAAAGAGGCAAAAAGGAAAAGGAAAAAAAATAAAAAGGAAATAAAAAATGAAAGCAAGCAGCAGCAGCAGCAGCCGCAGTAGCCGCAGCAGCAGCAGCAATTACCTTCCTGCAACATTAAATCCAGACAGCTGATCTACAGCAGCTTTTGCGTCATAGATGTCATCATACACCACAAAAGCTGTTCCCCTCGTGGCTGGCGAAGTGCCCCTGCAGCAGCAGCAGCAGCAGCAGCAGCAGCAAATCGGCGCAAGAGCAGCGGGAAGAGCGGCGAGAAAGGCAAAAGAAGCGGAGACAGCAGCAGCAGCAGCAGCAGCAGCAGCACCGGCGGCAGCAGCGGCAGCGACAGCAGCGGCAGCAGCAGCAGCAGGAGCAGCAGCAGGAGCAGCAGCAGCAGCAGCAGCAGCAGCAGCAGCAGCAGCAGCACCTGCGGATTTGGCGAATGGAGCCGTATTTGCCGAAGACGTCGTAGAGCTCTTCGCCGTTTATTTTGAACGGCAAATTTCGGACGTAAAGAATGCGGGAGACTTCGGGGGCCAGCCGCTGGGGGCGGCCGCGGCCGGCGAGCAGCGGCGCCGGCTGCATTGCGGGGCTTTTTGCTGCTGCTGCTGCTGCTGCTGCTGCTGCTGCTCCGCAGCACTCGCGGGGAACTCCAGAAAGGCTGCAGCCCGCGAAAAAAGCAGAAAATTCCACCCCGAAACGCCCCAGAACCAGCGAGAGCTGCTGCAGCAGCAGCGGCAGCAGCGGCGGTGGCAGCAGCAGCAGCAGCGGCGGCTCACGCTGCGGGGAACTGCAGCAAAAATCTAAAAGGGTAACTGAAGAGTTTAATCGAAAATAAACCTCTGCTGCGGAGGTGGGGGTCCTCCGTTGCTGCTGCTGCTGCTGCTGCTGCAGCGGATTCAGTTGGCGTTTGTGCTATTGCTGCGAAGCTCGCGGACAATGATGCTGCCGCTTCTGCTGTTCCTGCTGCTGCTGCTGCTGCTGCGGTTGCTCGTGCTGCAGTTGTCGACTGCTGATGCTCAAATCTGAAAGACTCCAGGGGCCCCCAAGAGCTGCTGCTGCTGCTGCTGCTGCATGCGGCAGGGGCCCCAGCTGCTGCGACTTTGCGCAGCGCTTGCTGCTGCGCGTGCTGCAACAGCAAAAATGAATAGAAAAAATTAAAATTATAATTTAAATTTGAATTTTAAAACTCAATTTATTTTTATTTTCTGTTTTTGGACTATTGCTGCAGATTGGGGCCTTCAGGTGAGCAGCATCGGCTGCTCAAACACGCCCACCACTGTCTAGGGTTTAGGGTTTAGGGTTTAGGGTTTAGGGTTTGTGGCTCAACACACATTGCCGCTGGCCTCAAGGGCTTGTTTGAGGTCTTCTTTCTGAGGCCACTGGTTTTTGAGCCGGGGACTAAGGTCCAGAGTTTAGGGTTTGAGGTTTTGAGGATTAGGGTTTAAGGTTTAGGGCCTAGGGTTTAGGGTTTAGGGTTCAGGGTTTTATACCTGAAGCCAAATTAAAAACAACTAAAGGGTACAGGGGACAGCAAAGGGGGCGATGGGGCCTTGGTGGTCTTCTTATGGTCAACTGCAGCAGCAGCAAGAGCAGCAGCAGCAGCAACAGCAGAAAGAGCAGCAGCAGCAGCAGCAGCAGCAACAGAAACAGTAACAGTGACCGCAGCAGCAGGAGAAGCAGTAGCGGCAGCAGCGGCTGCGGCTGCTAAAAGGGCATGGCCGGGCTGACGCTGGGATATCTGCTGCTGCTGCTGCTGCTGCTGC